GGGCCGCTACAGGGTACCAATGGGGCCGCTACCCGTCTCAGGAGCTACTAGTCCATTTGCTAGGGGGGGATCCGTAGCTCCCAGCCAGGCTGCCATAGGTAGGCTCTCACAGATAGGGATAGACCATGTATGCGTGGATTCATAATTTTACTTATACGCGTCGCCTAGCAGCAGCTACTGCAGCAGCTCAGCTGTTGCAATAGCTCCATGAATCGGTGTAGAAAAGCTCCTCTAAGAACAGCAGCTGCTGTTCATATGCATATGCCCATGCATGCGAAATTCCCAAGTCCTGCTATGTAACACCATTCAGACATATGCATTGCCTGCTGCAGCAACTTACAAACAGCACCAAACAGTTCCACACCCTGCTGCAGTTCATTGATCTCTCAACAATTTGCCTCAAGACATGCTACATTATAGCTCAGAAGCGCTCTATCCACCCTAACACTTTCTGGTATTCATGCCTAGAAGTAATCCTCCATCACCGTCAGTTAACACTCCAAGACAAGTCTGTACAGTGACTGTACAATGCAGCAATGCTGCTGCTAGCAGTAGCTTCTCCACAAGACGGCTTGTGAGCCTGTATGCAGCAGCTGCTGCAGCAGAAGCTTCGAAACAGCTCCAAACAGTTTCATACTGGGTGCACCCAGCTGCAGCTCATCCATCTCTCAACAAAATTTGCTTCAAAACATGCTACATCATAGGTCACATGCACTATCCACCCTAACAGCTTCTGGTAATCATGCCTAGTATTAGTCCTCTATCGCCGTTAGTTAACACTACAAGACATTGCAGCAGCAGCAGTCCTCCATAAGCAGCTTGTGAGCCTGTATGCAGCAAAGATCAGGCAGGGGCATACAGTAGCACCTTTGTCAGACCATCAAGAACTGCATGGCATCTGACCGCTGATGTGGAACTAAGAATGCAGTTTTATGCCACACACCTTACTCCTGCTTTAACCTTCCACTGAATCTGCGTGCTGATGTGTGGTGGGGAAAGCATGTGGTGTTGTCCACAGCAGCTGCAGGTTGCTGGGTGGGCCCTGTAGACAGACAAACATGCCCATCAAAAGTTAAATACACCAAACCCTGTATAGGTGTAGCAGCTGGCCGCTGAAAAGGCCTCTCGAGATGCTGGTGGTCGCGCTACATGTAATACCAGGCAAAGAGTACTCAGTTGGGAGATGCCAGGGGAGCTGATCCCTCTCACATTCCTCCCCCCCTCAAGTGAACGTCCTCGGGCGCCCCCAGGCATATCCCGTAGGATTTTAGGTTGTTTGAGATCCCGTAGGATTGTGAGTTTGTTTGTTATTGACATTTCGTCAGTCCCCATCCGAGATGGAGGACTTTGTTTTTACTCAGCTGGTAGACTTCTCACCCACCCAGGCATCCACCTTTTGGGGAAGAATATGCTGCATCTTACCTGGTGTGCGATATGTTCGTTACCAGATTCAATCTGGGGAGTCCAGTGGCGCCTCTCGGGACAACGTGCTGCCTCGTGGCTCGGGCGCCCCCAGGTCTCCGCCGTCGAGCAGCGGTGTCATGCTCAGGATGCCACAGCCGAACCCCGGAGTGCACAGGGTGCCGGTGTCGCCCCAAGATCAGACGTGAGTCCAGCTCGGGTCATGCCGGGTGGGGTGGGGTGGGGTCACGCAGCCCCCTGAGTGCTGTTCAAATGTGTCTCAGTCCTGCACATAACACGGCACCTGCTACATAACACAGCACCTGCTGCCCACCCCACGATAACAGATATCGCAGTGGCAGCGGTGGTGGTGACAACATGACCCGCCTGCGTGTGTGGTCCACACACACAGGTGCACACGGACCTAGGTACCAGCAAGGATATTTCAGTGTGTACCTGGAGCACGTGAGTGGACCCGTCGCCATCCGTTCCGCAGTCGTCGACTACAACCACGACACGTTTGAACCCCGGGAGCTGGAGATGTGGTTCGAAGGTCACCGATGGATGGTGTCGCGCCTGTCTTGGGGCCTCACCAACGTGATCATCAAAGTGACATTCGAGAACAACATGTGCCATGAATTCCACCACGACTGCTTTAATTTGCCAAATGGTGCCAGGGCCGAGTTCGCTTTCAAGATGCGCCCGTAATGTGCGTGCATTCACAACTGCTCCTTATATTGAACTAAGGAACCATGCATGTTGGATATGGCGCACACATGCGCACACACCAAGTGCCAGCGCTCGAGCGGTAGATGTGGGTTCGAAACCCACCGATGGTCCCCCGAATGTAATAGGTCGGAGTGTAGTGGGCAAGATTAAGTGGTCAGGCGGCAGCCTTGGAGGAGCTGCTCTGGAGCCAAGACCTGGCTTTAAATAAGAGGCAAATACGCCTGGCAGAAACTAACAGCACCATAAGGAGTGTTGGATTGGAGGCATGGGGAGTAGCTAGCCCCTGGGCCACTGAGTTATCAGATGGTTAAAAGGATTTCAGGATGGAAGCGCTCCTGTGTTGATTAGAGTAAACGGGTGCTGGTGTGTGCGCCTTGTGGTAGATATTCTGCGTGGCTGTAGAGCATGCGTCTGGTGGCATGGGGGCTGTTGGCACCTGGGCTAGCTGAGCTGGCAAATGGACTTTCAGGTGAACGCAGTTCTGCGATGATTAAGGTTGGCGGTGAGCATCAGCATGGGCTGGTGCAGTGTATGGACAATGTGGTACACCCCTCCTCAAGCGAGGAGTGCTTCGGTGGTCGTTCCCGTTGGGGTACGGTTAGGTGCCCCTGGCCAGTGTCAGGCCCGGATCGATATGTAACAACCAACATGTGTGCATGGCAGCTAAGCAGAAGTGATCAAATGATGCTTGCCGAGTGGTGTACCTACCTGTTGTGAGCAGATGCAAGAGAGCAACTCTTCCCGTGAGACTGCCATGGGTGTTGCCCGAGACCTTATTACAGCATGCCACACCTTCTTGTGAATTGCGTGGTCATCCTCGCAGCCACCAGCAAAAGACAGCAGGCGTGGAGGCGGCGGGAATTAGCAACGGAGTAGCCGTGGCAGCGACGGCAGTGGGGCTGGGAGGTGCATTAGTCTGAACAACAGGCGCGGCGGCGGCGGGAATTAGCAACAACAGCAGGCGCGGCAGCGGCGGGAATTAGCAACAGAGCAGCAGCGGCAGCGACGAAGGTGGGGCTGGGAGGTGCATTAGTCTGAACAACAGGCACGGGGCGGCGGGATTAGCACAACAGCAGGCGCGGCGGCGGGGGGAATAAGCAACAGAGTAGCAGCGGCAGCGACGAATGTGGGGCTGGGAGATGCATTAGTCTCAAAAGCAGGCGCGGCGGCGGCGGGAAATAGCAACGCAGCAGCAGCGGCAGCGACGAATGTGGGGCTGGGAGATGCATTAGTCTGAAAAGCAGGCGCGGCGGCGGCGGGAAATAGCAACGGAGCAGCAGCGGCAGCGACGAAGGTGGGGCTGGGAGATGCATTAGTCTGAACAGCAGGCGCGGAGGCGGCGGGAATTAGCAACGGAGTAGCAGCGGCAGCGACGAATGTGGGGCTGGGAGATGCATTAGTCTCAACAGCAGGCGCGGCGGCGGCGGGAAATAGCAACGGAGTAGCAGCGGCAGCGACGAAGGTGGGGCTGGGAGATGCATTAGTCTGAACAGCAGGCGCGGCGGCGGCGGGAATAAGCAACGGAGTAGCAGCGGCAGCGACGAAGGTGGGGCTGGGAGATGCATTAGTCTCAACAGCAGGCGCGGCGGCGGCGGGAAATAGCAACGGAGTAGCAGCGGCAGCGACGAAGGTGGGGCTGGGAGATGCATTAGTCTCAACAGCAGGCGCGGCGGCGGCGGGAAATAGCAACGGAGTAGCAGCGGCAGCGACGAAGGTGGGGCTGGGCGATGCATTAGTCTCAACAGCAGGCGCGGCGGCGGCGGGAATAGCAACGGAGTAGCAGCGGCAGCGACGAAGGTGGGGCTGGGAGATGCATTAGTCTCAACAGCAGGCGCGGCGGCGGCGGGAAATAGCAACGGAGTAGCAGCGGCAGCGACGAAGGTGGGGCTGGGAGATGCATTAGTCTCAACAGCAGGCGCGGCGGCGGCGGGAATAAGCAACGGAGTAGCAGCGGCAGCGACGAAGGTGGGGCTGGGAGATGCATTAGTCTCAACAGCAGGCGCGGCGGCGGCGGGAAATAGCAACGGAGTAGCAGCGGCAGCGACGAAGGTGGGGCTGGGAGATGCATTAGTCTCAACAGCAGGCGCGGCGGCGGCGGGAATAGCAACGGAGTAGCAGCGGCAGCGACGAAGGTGGGGCTGGGCGATGCATTAGTCTCAACAGCAGGCGCGGCGGCGGCGGGAATAAGCAACGGAGTAGCAGCGGCAGCGACGAAGGTGGGGCTGGGAGATGCATTAGTCTCAACAGCAGGCGCGGCGGCGGTGGGAATAAGCAACGGAGTAGCAGCGGCAGCGACGAAGGTGGGGCTGGGAGATGCATTAGTCTCAACAGCAGGCGCGGCGGCGGCGGGAATTAGCAACGCAGTAGCAGCGGCAGCGACGAAGGTGGGGCTGGGAGGTGCATTACTCTAAACAACAGGCGCGGAGGCGGCGGGAATTAGCAACGGAGTAGCAGCGGCAGCGACGAAGGTGGGGCTGGGAGATGCATTAGTCTCAACAGCAGGCGCGGCGGCGGCGGGAATTAGCAACGGAGTAGCAGCGGCAGCGACGAAGGTGGGCTGGGAGATGCATTAGTCTGAACAACAGGCGCGGCGGCGGCGGGAATGAGCAACGGAGTAGCAGCGGCAGCGACGAAGGTGGGGCTGAGAGATGCATTAGTCTCAACAGCAGGCGCGGCGGCGGCGGGAATGAGCAACGGAGTAGCAGCGGCAGCGACAAAGGTGGGCTGGGAGATGCATTAGTCTGAACAACAGGCGCGGCGGCGGCGGGAATTAGCAACGGAGTAGCAGCGGCAGCGACGAAGGTGGGGATTAGAGATGCATTAGTCTCAACAGCAGGCGCGGCGGCGGCGGGAATTAGCAACAACAGCAGGCGCGGAGGCGGCGGGAATTTGCAACAACAGCAGGCGCGGAGGCGGCGGGAATTAGCAACGGAGTAGCCGCGGCAGCGACGGCAGTGGGGCAGGGAGGTGCATTAGTCTGAACAACAGGCGAGGAGGTGGCGGGAATAAGCAACAACAGCAGGTGCGGCGGCGGCGGGAATTAGCAACAGAGTAGCAGCGGCAGCGACGAATGTGGGGATTGGAGGTGCATTACTCTCAACAGCAGGCGCGGAGGTGGTGGGAATTAGCAACGGAGTAGCAGCGGCAGCGACGGCAGTGGGGCTGGGAGGTGCATTAGTCTAGACAACAAGCGCGGAGGCGGCGGGAGTTAGCAACGGAGTAGCCGCGGCAGCGACGGTCGGTGGGCTGGGAGGTGCAATAGTCTGAACAACAGGCGCAGAGGCGGCGGGAATGCGCAACCGAGTAGGAGCGGCAGCTACGGCAGTGGGGCTGGGAGATGCATTTATCTCAACAGCAGGCACGGCAGCGGCGGGAATTAGCAACGTAGTAGCAGTGGCAGCGACAAAGTTGGGCCTGGGAGGTGCATCAGTCTGAACAACAGGCGCGGCGGCGGCGGGAATTAGCAACGGAGTAGCCGCGGCAGCGACGAAGGTGGGGCTGGGAGATGCATTAGTCTCAACAACAGTCGTGGAGGCGGCGGGAATTAGCAACGGAGTAGCAGTGGCAGCGATGGCAGTGGGGCTGGGCGGTGCATTAGTCTGAACAACAGGCGCGGCGGCGGCGGGAATTAGCAACAACAGCAGGCGCGGCGGCGGCGGGAATTAGCAACAGAGCAGCAGCGGCAGCGACGAAGGTGGGGCTGGGAGGTGCATTAGTCTGAACAACAGGCACGGAGGCGGCGGGAATTAGCACAACAGCAGGCGCGGCGGCGGCGGGAATTAGCAACAGAGTAGCAGCGGCAGCGACGAAGGTGGGGCTGGGAGGTGCATTAGTCTGAACAGCAGGCGCGGCGGCGGTGGGAAGTAGCAACGGAGTAGCAGCGGCAGCGACGAAGGTGTGGCTGGGTGGTGCATTAGTCTGAACAGCAGGCGCGGAGGCGGCGGGAATTAGCAACGGAGTAGCAGCGGCAGCGACGAAGGTGGGGCTGGTAGATGCATTAGTCTCAACAGCAGGCGCGGCGGCGGCGGGAATTAGCAACGGAGTAGCAGCGGCAGCGACGAAGGTGGGGCTGGGAGATGCATTAGTCTCAACAGCAGGCGCGGCGGCGGCGGGAATTAGCAACGGAGTAGCAGCGGCAGCGACGAAGGTGGGGCTGGGAGGTGCATTAGTACAGCTCAACAGCAGGCGCGGCGGCGGCGGGAATTAGCAACAGAGTAGCAGCGGCAGCGACGAAGGTGGGGCTGGGAGGTGCATTAGTCTGAACAGCAGGCGCGGCGGCGGCGGGAATTAGCAACGGAGTAGCAGCGGCAGCGACGAAGGTGGGGCTGGGTGGTGCATTAGTCTCAACAGCAGGCGCGGCGGCGGCGGGAATTAGCAACGGAGTAGCAGCGGCAGCGACGAAGGTGGGGCTGGGAGGTGCATTAGTCTGAACAGCAGGCGCGGCGGCGGTGGGAAGTAGCAACGGAGTAGCAGCGGCAGCGACGAAGGTGTGGATGGGTGGTGCATTAGTCTGAACAGCAGGCGCGGAGGCGGCGGGAATTAGCAACGGAGTAGCAGCGGCAGCGACGAAGGTGGGAATTTAAGATGCATTAGTCTCAACAGCAGGCGCGGCGGCGGCGGGAATTAGCAACAACAGCAGGCGCGGAGGCGGAGGGAATTTAGTCTACAACAGCAGGCGCGGAGGCGGTGGGAATTAGCAACGGAGTAGCCGCGGCAGCGATGGCAGGTGGGGCTGGGAGATGCATTAGTCTGAACAGCAGGCGCGGAGGCGGCGGGAATTAGCAACAACAGCAGGCAGCGACGGCGGCGGGAATTAGCAACAGAGTAGCAGCGGCAGCGACGAAGGT